CCATTACGCGCGGCCCCACCGAGCCGCGTCGCTCTCGTGCCTTCTTTCCCGTCTCCTCGATCGTCTCCCTTTCTCCGGTTGCCATCTAGCTTCCCCTCTGCCTGTGTCTTCGCATCTACCCGTCCGCCTGTCTGCCTCTATCCTTGCGTCTGACCTGTCTGCCTCTACCTCTACGCGCCAGCCATGAATCCTTGCCGGGGCTACGGGGCTACAGCGCGCCGCCCCCTTAATGGGGCTACGCGGGCTTTTTCCATTCACCGTGCAGCCATCTCTTGGCGGGAATACGAATGAAACGGCCCGTCACAGTGCCGTACCCGATTCACGAATTTCCCCTCGGCAGCGACAGCAATTTCGTATCCTTCCACATACAACGGAGGGATCGCCGCGAGAGAACGATCCTCGCGTCGAGGAGAGATTCCCGGTGTCGGTTCGGGTCCTTGGAAAATCCTTCGTTCGCGTTCGGACGGATGGAATTAGGATTTCTCGGGGTAGTTCCCCGTGGAACGATAGTTTCCTTTCTCCTCGGAGATAGAAACACCTGCCAGGTAGGAAATCATCGCGACGGACTGGATTCTCGAGTACCCCGGTCGCATTGTGCCGCTTGGGCGGGACTCACGACGTATCGTATGACAGGAAGACGTCGGGGAGGAAGAACCTGATATACGACAAGGGGATGATTCGTTATTATGTGAATTTTCACGGTAAATCTACGCTACGCTCCGTATAAAATCCCCGTCACACCTATCGGCCCTCGATCCCCTCGGGTTCGGAGTAACAAAGAACGAGACGGAATCGTTGGTGATAACTTTTAATTTCGATTATATAATTTAATTACATAATCACGTCCAAGGCTAGAACATAATTTACAAAAATATATATATATATACATATTTCTCTGCTATGTACAATAATTACAATAGGGACGACGAGGGTAGCAGGAACTATCGACGGCTCGATCCTTCACAGAGACGACCTCTGCGCCGAGCATTCTTCAAATCATCGTGTACTGTCCGCCGATCGACGGCGGATACGCGATCTGCGTGGTCACCGCGGGCACAGAGTTCTCCTTGTTCGATTCCTTTTTGCTCGTCGAGTTCCTTCTCTTCTGGTTCTCGTGGGTTTTCACGTGTTTCGTCAGATGGTCGCTCCTCATGAATCTCTTCCCGCAGGTCGGGCAGGCGAACCTCTTCTCGCCGGTGTGGGTGCGAAGGTGACGCTGCAGCTCGTCGCTCCTGGTGAACCTCTTGCCGCAGAAGAGCCAGTTGCAGACGAACGGTCGTTCGCCGGTGTGCCACCTGAGATGAGCTTTCAGATGAGAGGTCTTGCCGTACACTTTGCCGCAGCCGGGCACGTGGCATACGTGTTGCCGTTTCCCGTCGACGCCCAACTGCGCACCGCTGTCCGTTTGGCAGTTCGGACACCGGCATCTCGTACACTTTCTGCCGGACTTGCCCGGTTCCTCCGCGGTTAACAGGCGATGCTCCGCCGGCGGCGTCAACGGCCATTGGTAATGGCCGGTGTGCTCCTGGGGACTCGGCGAAAGTTCCGGCGGGCTCGGCGGCATCGGATAGTGCTGAATCCCCGGTATCGGCGCGAGCTGGGGCTGGGCCAGATGCGTCTGAGTGGTCCACGAGGCAGTGCTGGTCGGCACGGCCGGCATCGTGTACGCCGGTGGCGTCAGCGGCTCGGTCATTTGACTGTGACTCGTGCTGCCGGGGTACCAGTAGCAGCTCGACTGGCTGGCCTGGAGATGATGATGACCGCTCAGCGTCGGATTGTAGGGCTGATAATGAATGCTCGGTCCTCCGTAATCCATCGCGGACGGCATCGGCATCGGCAGGCTGGACATCGGCGTCACGCCAGGCATCGGCGACATCGTCGGCATGCATATCTACAATTTGCGAAGAAAACATTAAGTTACTTATCACCGGCGATCTAGGAATCTAACGGACCAACCCTACTCGATATCTAACGTTTCTCCTTCGCACGGAAGGCTCGCGGAATGATAAGGAAACGATCACTTGTCAAAAAAGGAATCGCGACGCTGGGATATCTCTCGCGGACTCTCGACTATGTACGATCTGTGGCGTGTCATTAACGAACCTGTTGATACTGCATCACTTGTGCCATCACTTCACTTCTGGTCCGATCACAATCCTTTCGTTGGCCACTAATTATTCGTTCGCGTGTGCGAGCCGAGTTGCCCACTGGCACGTGTGCGCGAACGGAACGGAATTAGAGAAGTAATCCTGCTTGATCTTGATCACACCGATAGTAGTAGCCCGGAACGGGACGGCGGACGGAGCCGAAACGCGAAAACGAATATGATGACGGAGACGGAGACGGAGACGAAGACTATATATCGATAGGAAAGACCCGAGTGCGGATCGGAGCGTGCGCGGCTCCGAGCGTTCGCCAGATAATTGCTGGTTGCCGACCGTGTCGCCTCGGTTTTAATAACCGAGTGGACAAGGAACTGACGAAGAAGGGAGGAGGCTGAATGCCCTGCCGGTTCCTCTATGGAGGAGGGGATAGACCCCAGTGAATCCTGTCGACTGGTGCGCATGCGTCCTCCCCTCCATCGGCTCATAAATCAACCCTGCGTTCCGAGGATAGAGGATAGAGGATCGAGGCTACGCACCTTTTGTGGTCGTCCCTGGGGGCTGCCTCATGCCATCGAGGAAAGCCTTCGTCAATTCTACGGTACTGCTCTCCCGAGAGCATCCACGGTTTTTACAAATGGCCATCTTTTACGAGCGGCGCGTACGATTGTTCCTTTCTTTAATCGGGATCGAGCGAGACCGCCGCGCGTGCTTTCAACCCTATTACCAACTTTCCATCGGCGTCTATCGTTTCTCCGGCGACCTCTTCACCTTTTCGGAAACGAGGTTTTTCGGTAGGAGCCAAAGGGTTTTTTTCGGTCGACTCCGTATACACCGATGAGATTCGAATAGATTGGGGATCGAATCGAGGAGCGCATTAAACGAAATAGTATCCCGGGGATACTCCGAGCGTCGAGCTATATAATATCGAACTAAAATTGAATGGTTCTCGTGGAGATTAAAAGAATTGTAACAAACGCACTCACGGCTCGAAGGTTCGACGGTGAGGGAGAGGGGGGAGGGGAGCGTTAGGCACCGCTTCGATTTCTCGTCAGGATTCGTTTTCCTTAATTGCCGTGCGCCCTTCTCGTTTTGCTTCGTCAAGAAACGATCCGGCGGATGCGTAACGACAGGATGTTTGTTGAATTTGCCCGAAATTTCGCCGCGACGCGAAAACTTTTTTGCGTGTCGCGCCGTTCGAACGGCGATCGACCGCCGAGCAGAATCATCGTTTCACGATTCGACCGCCCAAGATTCGAGACGCCGGTCGACCCGGTAGGCAATAATTATCGGTAGAAACGTCGTAACCTGCAGGAGGAATAAGCTTAATCGTTCGGGTTTAATTGGTGGATAAGACATTCGAGTTTAATTAGCGGTCCTGGGAGCCCGTGACGGCCCACTTCGAATCGCGGACGCTAGGCGTCCGCGCTCCCCGTCTATTCGCGCCGGCATAATTACACGATAACGAATTGTGGGAGTTACGTTTTGCCTTGCGTGAAACAATTACGGCTAATGCACTCGAAAAAGTCATCCACCCTTTCTAACGTTGCACCCGTCGCTCTCGGGCGGCTCCTCGTCTCGCCGACAATTGAAACTCACAGCGTCGAGGACCGTGGACGTCTTGCGAGAGGATCCCTCGCGCGAGTCGGGAGAGAGGAGAAAAAAAGACGTCGGTGAATCCGGTGAATGCGGAAGCTAAACGATGCCCGGAACCCGGCGGAAGGCGTCGACGCCGAATTTTCACGGTGTTTAGAGGTCTTTTCATCGGTAACAGGAGGCGGGCGGAATTTGCAAAGACGTATCAAAGCGTGGAAAGGCCCGCGACGGTCGGCCCGGTACACGGAAGCACGTGATAACGGGCACCGGCTTCCCAAGGTTCTCGGTACGCTTTATGCCGTACGTCGCGCCGTAAATTCATAAAAGAGACTCCTGGTCCACCGCGCTGCATGGGAGAGCAGTTACAATGCGTCCGGCCGAGTCGGGACCGAGAAGTTCGCAGCCTCCACAAAGTCTCGGTTTATGGTGGCTGTAAAGCGATCATTGGCAGGACGAGGTGACGACACTTTCGTGCTACCGATCCGTACCAGATAGGCACCATTATTGCGCCTCGCTGTGCGCACAATGAAACGCTGGCAGCACTGCAGACAGGTACGCGAGGAAAACGCCGGTGCAGCGGACGAATCCTTGCACTTGGCGTGAAGGATCGTTTTTCCGACTATCCCGATCGATACCTTAATCGCTGCAACGCAGACAGGAACACGCTGCTATCGCGAGATCTCTGTTTGAGTCTCGATAACGTCTGAGTCGTTACAAAAATCTTAGAAATCGGTAACGACATGCCACAGTCAGCAACCTTGTCTTTTAAAACATTTGAAAAATGCAAGATTTGATCTAGTAAACTACGCTCGCGACACATCGCCATCAGCCGTTCGCCAAAGAAAGGTGGCGATGGGAATGTTAGAATTCCGCCAGAAATCGGTTAGGTGAGCGGCGATGAAAAGAGGGTCGCGCCTCGTTACGCGTCGCGGCCGGATTGCGATTCGTGGAAGCGAGTTTCCCAAGTGCAGCGAGCGATGCGGTAACGCTGACGAAACAGATTAGTTTCCCAAAAGAAGACTCTCTCCGTCTGGACCGATGCGAAACCCTTCCCGGAACTTTATCTCGTCGTTCCCGAACGCACGAGCGGATTATCTGTTCGATTAACGAGGATCGTCCTTATCTGCCGGAAGCTGCGACGAGGGTCAGGAGTACCCGGAACGCGAAAATAACAAGCGTTATCGCGACGTCCACAGTCCCAGAACTGTTGCTCGTCGTTCTCCAGATTTCCAGAGAGGCGACGCGATAACCAAGGCGAGTTCCAGCGACGACGTACGCATCGGCGATTCGTCGCTCGCATACCGGATGGAGATTATCAAGTTCCGGTGCTCGGGAAATATCATCCAGCGTCACGTGCGCGTACAGTGGACCGAGAGAGAGAGGCGACGCGGGAAGAAGCGAGTCCGTCAGAAGGCTGGACCATCGATCTTCCGGGATGTTTTCCGACGACCACAAGCAGACTCTCTCAGGGGACTCGTCGTTGTTTGTCAGATTCATCGAAAGCGCCGCAGCGGTGGCAGCGGGAACACCATGGAAATTGGACGTCGCTGGGTGACACATGTCCGAACGAGTGCCGGTAGCTCTGCTGCAACAGCGTCGTCGTAAATCTTGCGACGGAGTCTCGCGGCGCAAGGGCGAAAGGGTGGGGGCACGCCCAGAGCAACCCTTCGCTTTCCTCTCCTCGAGGCAGCCATTGTCCCCTAATAAGCCGCTTAGCGTCTCGGCCAGGGGTAAATTGCTCCACCGGTAAACACTACTCTCACGCGGGATCCTCCGAGAAATCGAACATTTTTCCGGAAACTGCGGCCTCGGCCATTGTACTCCGTGCTCGCGACACGCAATCTCCCGTTGCTCGCTGATATAGAAACATCTGTAACAGGACCGATCATTCCACCACGTTGCTACGAGAGTCCGGTCAAGATCGCTCATCGTTCAGGAAAAGTCGTTCGTTCGCCCTGTCGTCGATCGGCTAAGGGAAAAAACGATGAACTTCGGTCCGTGGTGTGTCCAATCGGTAAACGTAGGAGGGGGTGAAAGAAGGGATGAAGTGCGCTTTGTGCCCGCTGCGAAAGACGCGGAGTTTTCTGGAGACATTCAGGAGCGGCGGACCGATGCAAATCGGACGGACGCAGGTCAGATCGTCTCGGGCTGTCCGCAAATAAGAAATCGAGGGTCCCCGATCGGCCCTGTTCCCGGGCGAATCCCGCGAGAACGGCGAGGCCCGGCTACACTTAAAACCCGTTACCGAAATTAGACGGCGACTCCCACCTTTCGGTGTCTTCGAGTTACCCGATCGCGTTAGAGATCGGGCGCGTACCGGTGGTGCGAGCCGGGCTAACGGCCAGCGGCGGTTATTTTATAGAAAGTGGACACGAGAAGTCTCGTAACATATTTCTTTCGGGCTATAACAGTCTTTCGGCGCTCTTTTGTGGAAGACCGTTGGTCCGTGCGCGCATAAACATGAGCTATCGCCCACGAGAACTAATATTCCCGAATAGGGAACGCTTTCCTAGAGTTTATCGTAACTCACCGACTTTTATAGGTTGCTGGAAATCGGTGCTCGCGGGTCCCTTTAAAATCGTCACGCTATTTTAACCAGCCCGACGAGCCAGA